ATTCTTATTACAATGGGCATTGTCTCGCGTGTCATAAAGTTACGTTCCTCTGCCCTGTGCCCCGACGTTTCACGGAAGTTTAGTCGTGACGTCCCAGGCATCGTCAGGTTTCGTTCGTGGCTCTGCGCCTTCCAGAATGGCGCTTGAATGAATGATGGATTTGCAAACAATAGAGGTGGACTCGGTTCGGCTGGGGGAGAACCCTATAATTTGAGGCTGAGGGCGGAATTTTTAATAGATTCGAGAGTCAAGAGGATGGGATGCCAGCCCTTAACGTTTTCTGTCGTGGGGATGCTGCGCTGTACCTCATAGAAGCTCGTATAATTATACCTGTATCGGCTAAATGCTGAAACACTGTAATCCTGGCCTCGGCCCCCATGACAGGGGTTCGACTGCTTTGTTATTCTGAGAATACACTTTCATCTCCTCCATTGCATTGTATCGGGCATCGGGTAGCAGCGAATGCATTGAATAGGCAATCACGGACAGCCGAGGAGGGGTGGTCCTCCAGCTTGAAGTCTGCTCACAGCAGCTCACGAAATGTTGGACTTGGACGGATTTTTTTAGAGCGACGTAAGCAACGGACGAAATTAATTACCACAGGATTATGTTAATTAGGATGATCGAATGAAGGGTCGGATTGGCTGGGAACGTAACAAGCAGGGAGGGGAGATAGCCTAAATTCTTACGAAACTTCAGTCGCGAAAACTGAAGGAAAGATACCCCTTGGAAGACCTTCGCGTGGTTGTTGAAGAAACTGAATGTGGGGGTATGGATTGGGTTCATCTGGCTTAGGATAGGGTCCATAGGCTGGATATTATGAAAACGGCTCTTAGCTTCTCGAAACTTTGCTCCAATCCGTGCACAATTTTTTCGTCGTCCCGGAGTGATGGTCGCTGATATTTGCTGCGACTGGGGGAAAACCAGACGCGGTCCTCGGGCATGTGCTCTCGCCTGTCCCCAGTGTTTCGCGTCGACAGGGGTAAGTACCGAAGCGACGGATGTTGTGAAGTTCTCAAGAACTGATTTATGCAAGTATTTCGTCATGGCTGCGTGTGGAGTTTGCTCTCTGTGTGCAAATGTTTACAGACGGTAATTACAGTTCCTGACAGGAAGTGGCCACACTGCGATAACGTCACATTCCTCAAAGAACCTCGGTGATCGGAGAGAGACGGCGAGCGAGACTGGGTCGACGGGAAGGGAACGGGTCCGGACGACGAGATAACAAAGCGCGGTGATTCTGGTGGGAAGACGTCGGTGAAACCTGAGCTCTATTCAACACTTTTAATCGTGTGCGCGTGTCATTGGGCGCTTTGCGGGGGTTATTTGAAATCCGGCTTCGTCAGAAAATGAAACGTTATTCTACCACACAAAATAACGAATCTCTGTAATAATTTTCAGGTCCCTTTTTTGGTTTCTTGTACCCCCACGATTATTAAGGGACCGACAGAATCTCTTGGTTCGGAAAGCTGCTCAATACAGGACTGAAAATTTGTGCATTGACGCAAAGACGCAGCCTGCGTTGAACTGATTGCTAATGGCGTGTACACTGACCTTACAACCGTGGAAAAACTGTGTTTCCTGCTTTTTGTTTAGATTACTGATAAAGCTGTAGATTCTCAGTACGGGTGTGACTCAAGGTCGTGAATTATCTTTAAATAAACAAACAAACGATTACTGTATAATTATTATTAATTTCGATGCTGTCGTGGCTGTCAAATGTTACAGAGTGACGACGTATTCCTCCAGCATCTCAGGACCGTCCTCTCTTGCATGAGAAACTTACGAACAAGTCCAAAAGTTCTTAAAGTCTGTGCCCGTGCATAGACGTTCGTGTCATTATGAGGGCTTCAGTAAATTTCAAGCTCTTAACCGCGAATCGTAACCCAAGTACTGAATTGGTACGAGTCCCGGGTACAACTGTTGACGCTGATAGTGTCTCATCAGGGCTATTCCTTAACTCGAACGGACGGACGCCGGAAGTTCCCTTCAGTAACCGGGAAGAACGTGGGGCATCGAGTCGAGGGGAAGTGACCGCGGCCTACTTTAGGCACTGTGTTGGCAGTGGCGTGCAGGAACTGTGGAAAGCGGCGATGACCTTGAAAACGCGAGTGCGTTTTGTGCGTCGACCGGAAGCTGGGCTCGATCCGCCGCGGCCTCGGTGGCTTCCCCTCGTGCAGCAGTAGCGTTTAGCTTCGTTTTTGAAACTTCCAGTTCTCCGGAAAGTCAGTCAGACTCGATGTTGATCTCTTCAAAAGAAAACACCGGACCGTGGACCTACCAATTACTACAATGGGTCATTGTGTTGGGTTTTCAGGTAGACGCTTTGGCTCTTCTGTGGCAGAAGCTGTCTCCCGAGGAACGGTTTTGAAAGTACCATTAACAAAATATTTTGGTAGTCCGCATTGAGTGCAATACATACACACACAGACCAAGAATGAGATGGCAAATTCAGACTGTTGTCTTTGCATTTGTGGGATCTCTTGTTGACAGAGTAGCGTCTCACTTTCAGAACAAAGCTCAGATGTCATCCCTCCACCGCGGAGGCTTCTCAATGCCTCCTTCCACCTCCGTGAATTAAGCGCCTAAGTCACGATCAATGGGCTTAAACCGCAAGGCTCAAGGACATGTGTACTTCGTGAGGTCTGTCCTTAGTAACGAGGACAAGACGTCGGTCCTTTCTTCAAGGAAACTGAGAAACTTCTGGTTAAAACTCGATTGCATTGAGACAGACAAGAATTTAGAAGACGAAATTCAACCTGAAGTCACTGTCGTTCTGACGCCAGCTGTATGGACGTTTCATTTCGGATGCTGCGTGTGTCGACAGAAATCACCGCCACGCTGATCGTTGCATCATGCTCCCAGTTAGACGTTACTGAAGAAGACAGTGAACAGGCGAATGTGAAGATGGCTGTCTTCTGGTTTGTTACGCCGTGTACTCTGGTAGTAAGTACCTCTGAAACGTCGGTGAACTTCTATCAGTCTACACGGCGCTACAACCATCTTCAGTGAGAGAACATTTTATCCTTCACACCGAAGTAGGACGTGCCTTAGTCCCGTCTTGCCCCCAGCCTCGTCACCAAAGCCGATACGATACGTTTACTTGTTTCGATAATGTTTACCGACGTATCTTGTGGTCTGCAGTCACTAGAGAATTTTTTTTTCCTTTCAGCGGGTACATACATAATGTCTTCGCCTTTGAATGCAACACATTTCCCGTAAGTGACAGGCCTAACCTGGGACGGACGGACAGCTTCAGCGAAAATATTTTTGTGGTGAGGTCTCTTTTGTTGCTAACGAAGAGGGATATTACGATAAGAAATGTGTTCTGTGCGTCTTACTCTAACTTTGTAGCACGTGACCTGCCAAGATGAGCCGCTAGTTGCTAAGCTGTTCAGCAGATTGCCCTAAACATATATTTATCAGCGTTTGAAATATGCTAGCGGCCAGTCGATATCGTGGGCAG